GGTCTTATTCTGAGTATTCACGGCAGCCATAAGCTTCTCCAAGATCTTAACCATGCTGCACTCAGTGAGCCCATTCTGAGAAGTCGCGCCTCGTCGCATCATTTCAATCCCAGCGGGAAGCCTTGGGGGGTTTTGAACAGCCGTTTCCGCTTTCTCAATTCTCCGATAAGCCAGGGCCAAGTCAGCTCCGATCAGCAAGAACCCTGTTATCATGGTTCCAAATAGGTAGATATCTTCAGCGTCCTCGATTGACAGTCCCGCCAGGCACACGATCCTCCATGTCTGCCACCCGTCCATCGTGTATCCGGCAGGGAAAGTCCCTCCAGGGCACTCGGGCTCTCCCGAGCCCAGACTTCTCGTTGAGAAAAGGGTGTCAATAGCATTCAGAGACCAGTTGATCAAATCCATAATTCTCTTTTAGGTTTTAGAAACAGACTGTGAGAGAGTGTTCCAGGGAAAAGTAATACAAAAAACACAAGGGAGAGGAGAAAAAGTGCATCCGCCTCCTCCGAGAGCCAAAGACTGTACTCTCAGTGCTCTCAGTGCAGTGTTTTGGATCAGCTAAAGGTTTTTCAGAGCATTTTTAGGACAGCCTGACTCTGAAGAATTATAATAGAGTAGCAAAGGAGTAATAAACTACTTTGTCACTCAGAGGCAGGATGTCTTCATTTTGGCAATTCACAGTAATACTGGAGGCCATGTAATTCAGGAAATCCATTCAAGCATTACATAAATGTCTACAAATTAATTTATTAATAAACAGTCTTGCACATCGTTGGAAGTGTGGTGATTAATTCTTCATTTAAAAATGTTGCAGTGATGTCAGATTCATTGAAAGTCAAACTGTCATGTTTTTGCCAGCTTTGTGAGGAATATAGTGGATTAATACTATCTGTCAGATAGCTTCAAAAGATGATCCACAAGATATTCATGTGGATCATCTTCTTCTTGGAAAACAAACTCTCTGGTAAGATGTAAATGCTCCAAGTTTTATTTTGTATACATAAAATCACACACTATTACATTTTCTTGTGAGTCATGACTGTGCTGTTAATAGGGTTTCCAACATACTTATACTGTTGAGTGATCAAGTTCATCACAATCCTGATCTTTACAGTGACAGTTCAACATGCTGCAAACAGACTGGTGAGGCAATGAAATGCATAAAGTGTTTCAATTAAAACATCTTTTATATATAGGGTGTCAATTTTAGATCACATTTTATAGTAAGCTAAATTTAAAGTCCAGAGATTTCCTGATGATTTCCAGAGGAAGATGTGTGCACAGCTGTGAAGCTAATTTACTCGAAACTCTTGTATCTAGTTGACTACCACTCCTGGGTGCCCAATGGCTCGCTCCTGCTGAGAAAACCTTCTCCAACCACTAAATGGTTCAGACAAATTTGGAGACTCTCCAAATGTTTTGAGAGACAGTGGAGTTTTGCAGGAATGGCTCGACATCTCTCTCAGAAGTGCACTAATGTATTAAGTTTTACATTTTATCAATTCATGATGCACAACCCTCACTAGCCCCTCCCCCAAAAATCACCACCAAAGAAAAAAAAAATAAAGCAACATAAATATATATACATATATTTGTTTTTTAATAATGGTTCTGGTCACAATCCTTACCTGAAACTCCATCAGCCATGGACACTTACTGCTTATTGTGAAAGCTTATTGTTTTCACTAATAAGCCCAGACATGAAGGTAAGACCAGATGTTTGGTATTTCTACAAACTGAGGTCCTTGATCAAAGGCCAAAACTGTGAAGTAGACAATGGCCAGATGTAACAAAAAGGTTTTGTAATTCAGGTTTTTAAAGATCATATCACTAAATCGGTTGACATTTTTTCATTACTTTGCAGGTTCTTGTGGGTCAGTGCGCTGAAGAGCAATTTGATGAGTTTGCCTTAAAGCAAATGATTAAGGAGTTTCTAGCCCAGCTGTCAAAACTCAGTGAAGCAATTACAGGAAGAAACTCTCAGCTTGAAGTACCCTCCACATATCTGAAGCTGATTAAAATAGAGATCAGCATAATTATTTAAGAAAGGCGTCAACTGGCACCACCAGGCTAACTTACATGGTAGGAGGTTAATTCATACATGCCTGACAAGGTATTTTCATGCTAGAACAGTTTTTTTGGTTGTAACCGAAAAGCTTATAGTGTTTTTATTTAGTAGTAACAGGATTATACACTTTTTTGAAACCTTACATTCAAGTGGAAAGAAGAGCAACTGATTTGTGGTAGGTGGATTACTCTAATGTGGTATTGTCATGGCTGCGGAAGCAGACATGTGGAGTGGTGAGAGAAAGGACCCAAGTGCAGGCACTGATGAATGACTGACACGTGAGCTTTATTTACAGTGGGGGAAATGAAATACAAGCAAGTGCTGAACATGGCAGCGGCTAAACTGAAACAAAACCTAAACTGGGTGAAACTAAAGTGATACAAAGGAACAAAAGCCTGGGACTAGAAACTCGGGACATAAAACATAACAACCTGAGACAGAGGAAGACACAGGGCTTAAATACACAGGCAGGACAACAAGCGATTGGGGAACAAGGTGGCAACAAAGCCAGGACAAATCACACATAACAAGACAAAGGATGCAAAGCAGAATACCCAGACTTAAGGAAAGGACTTTCAAAGTAAAACAGGAAGCACAAGACATTCGCAGACTCAGAGACCCAGACTTGACATGACTGACTGGATATGAAACATAGAACACAGGGAAGACACAGTTACTGAAACCAGGAGCTAGAACTACAAATATAAAATGAACAGAAAACCATCAGCAAAACCAAAGCCATGAATAACAAATAATAATGGTATATAACTTAAACACAAAAGCCATGACAGGTATAGTAAAAAACATGAACTCTCCAAAGGGATTGTGTTTAGAGTCTCTTGATTATACAAACTGATCCTTGCCACCAATTGCACGCATGTCCATATACTGCGGATGCTCACATTAGAGGAGTTGGTCACTTCTAAAGCACAGTATTAGAAATAGTCCATGTACAGCATATAGCATGCACGGTGGCAGTGTACAACAATTATTCAGCTTTAACTGATCAAATGGTGAACTGCATGTACGGATCATAATTTCATCCGGTCAGATGAGTGGCAAATTCTGTGCATGATGGCCTAAATTCTACCGACAAGAGAGCACATCCATAAGTCAAAAATGAGCAGATCTAATAAGGGAAAAACAAGTAACCTAACAAAATGAATACTATGTAAGTGCAGATTTTACACATGCTCAAGAGACGGCTAAAGAAGAATCAATACAGTTTATAAGGTTGACCCCCTTTATTTGAAATCGAAGCTAGTTGTGCAGTCTTAGAGGCAGCTGTTCTCTAGAGGCTGATAAAGGGCAGGATTCATCTAGAAAAGTGCTGCTTTATTAAAATGCTTCTACTTTAAAAGATGTGTGTAGAAGAACACAAATCACCATTTAGGGTCGAGTCAGGTCCTGAGCATACCTCTATTAATTAAGTTACTGTGCCTTGTGATTAATCCACACATTGCTGGTGTCATTTTCTGCTGCAGGATTTGTTAAAGTTTCTGTTATTGCCTAATCTCTGAGTAGAAATGTGATTAAAACCCTGAAACACTGCAAACCTATCGGCTCACTGCAACACAGAACTTGGCTGCCTAACACGCATCCTTGCTTTTCTTTGGATTCTCCTCCTTCTCGTGCACCACATTACTTCTACTCTGTATAAAACCAGCATTTTGTCATTGTTATTATTATTGTTATTATTACTGAGGACCAGAAATATTTGGATGTTAGCCCTATACATGCAGGGTGATTGTGAAGGATTAGAGGACAGAGCCCAAGTTTTGGCACTCGGCCACCCAAAGCAATTATGTGCTTGTTCTGGTAATACCTTCTCTCATTCCAAATAAATGAAAACGCCTGATGGCAACAATCACAACCACACCACACAGCTTAAGATGTTCTATTCTGTGTTAAAAAGGATCTTTTGTAGTAAATTATGGATGGCAAATTTAGTTCATTGTGTTTGTAGGATTTATTTAAATGCTATTTTGTTGCATTTGTTGCCTCTAGAAGCACTACATGTTTAAATGTAAGCACACAATAAATATCCACCAAAGTTGAAGGTCAACTTAATAATTTATGGATTAAAAATTGACAAAAAAAACCCCTGAGAACTTAGATACCATTACCAGTGTGGTGGTTTTGTCTACACATAAAATGTACTATATAAAAATGTTAAATATTGTGTCAAGTTTGACCTCTGGCTTGTTCTAGGTCAACAGCTGATCTGAAGGCCAAAGTGATGATAAAGCTACGTATAGCTATTTAAAACTACGTTTCTCACTGCCATTGTTTGTGTTGACAAACTACAAGCATAGAGGGAATCCTATTCTAAATAATGTTTTTAAATATCACATTACTTTGTGCTTTTTTTGTACCTGTTCTTTTGTTTTTAAAGCTGTACTTAAAATTCAAATGCCACAATTAGAAAATTATACTGGTATCTGGGTATTCTAAATATCACGTTATAGTTTGCAAAAAAAAATCATGTCACATTTGACCTCTGATCTCACTTTCGCACTTCACGTCTGCCTTTCTTTCAAATTCTAAAAATCTTTAGTTAAAAGTATTGTTTGCTGCCTACAGTAGTTAGAAATGCACTGTAATATAATATTATATAATAAACTCAAGTTATTGGTGTCCAGTTATTTATAAAGCAATAAATGTTATCCATCTGTCACGCTTCCTTTTTTTATTGCACTACAGAAGTACGTTAAAAACAAAAAACAAAGAAAAGAAAATGAATGTATTGAAAATACAATACTTTTCCCTTAAGAGTAGATGCTGCCCACAGAGTAATGCGTTTTCTGAAGCGCAGTACTTTGAGCCGTCCAGTCTTACGTGGCTTCTGCAAGGTGCCCGATAATCCTGGCAGAGTGGGACCTCATTCTCTTTTTCTTGTCTTTGCTGCAAACTGAACTGTCCAACTACACCCGGTTATTTTTAGGCTACACCATACAGTCACACCGTCGCGAATGTAACGCAATAGCTGCTATAACATTATAAGCCATAATAACCCATAAGGTCGCCATACCATAATCGGCTGAACAGATTTAGGCAAGCCTGCGGTCATGTTATTTAGATTCGGCGTCATTCTCACTCCGGAGTCCTCGGAGGTCGACGTCTTTGTTTTGGGTTCGCGTGCTGAAATGGGGAACTGGGACCCGAACAGAGCGGTTCGGATGAAAGCCACACAGAAACTCCCGTCACCCGCAGAACCGTGTCTGTGGATCGGTGAGGTGCACCTGGCCGAGCCCCACAGAGACACACTGTGGTTCAAGTTCATCCAAAGAGTCAGAGGCACCTTTATCTGGGAAGGTACCTGTGCACTTCTGGTTTAATGCGCATCACATCTGGTTCACATGTAGACGGTTTTCCAGACGTCTCACAGATTTGCTGTAATTACTGTAAGGTTAGCGGGGAGAGACATAAATATGACTGCGCCATGTTTGGTTGCTATTGTGCAATGTTTTCATAGTGCCACATGATGGCGGTAAGTGACACTAAATGTTCAGTGGCTAACAAATTGCATTGAATCTGCAAACCTAAAAAAGTTTAAAATTTCTGAAAAACATCCGAAAAAACTATTGAGTCTTTTAGTTTAAATTAACAGTTGAAATTCAGCATGTGAATATAACGGTTTACAGATAGAGTTCAGCATTTATACTTCATCATCTGCACCCAGGAATGAATGCACAGTAATGCAATACTGGATTCCTCTGAAAGTTTCTTTAACAGGTAGGATGGATAAATGGATATTTCTCATTTGAAATTAGTCATATGGTCCTACTGTTGGACACAGGGGCGTAATTTCCAGGGGGGTAAGGGGGGTTATGACCCCCCCAATAATCAGACCCAACCAATATACCCCCCCCCCCCCCCCCCCCCAAATAAAATTATGAATTATCTTGCATAAATAGGCTGTTGATTTTCTTTACGCATTTCAGGTATTACCAGCAAAATAGTTACATGTTTATTCATCTAGGAATTTATTTATTTATTTAGACATAGATCTTGACCCCCCCCCCAATGTTCAGCACAAAGTTACGCTGATGGTTGGACAGTTTATAACAAGGGTGTCAAACATAAGGCCCTGAGGCCAGAATCAGCCCCCGTCCCAGGGATTACTCCAATCTGCCACACTGGATAGCTTTAGAATATAAGAAGTTTTACAACTTCTCCTGTTGATAAAGAATTCCCCCCAGTGGCTATTTATAGTGCATCACAGAAATTAAGTTATTTAACAGTTAAATAACAGAAAAGTGCCTGTTTTTTGTTTGTTTTTTTACAATCACTATAGAAATGTATGCTTTTTACAGTGGGCCCAGAAAACTGAAACTCATTTCTATTTTTATGTAATTTGACATATTTTTGTCATACAGTTTAAATCATGCTGACACATTTCTTCTTCGTTTACTACAACACCATCTCTTTATCATGTAGAAAAACTGAGAAATACTGTTGAAATCTGTTTCTTATTTCAAGACATCTCAGCTAAATGTGTAGTTTAACCTCTTTACACTTTACACTCGAGATCTGGGCCGCATGTGACACACCGTGGAAAATCAGTTTGACGTCCCTGATTTATATGCATTAACGTGCTTGTCATCTTTGTCACCAGGAAGCGGGCCGAGCCATGACAGATGGTGTACATATGATGATAAGAATGTGGTGGATGGCGTGTACTGCCACCCGATCGGCCACTGGATAGAAGAAACGGGGCACACAGATGAGATGAGGCACACCACCAACTTTTACTTCAGTGTGGCTGGTCAGAAGGCCATGCATTTCTCCAGGTAATACAGTACATATACACGCTTTCTACATGATGTTCTAATCATAGGATAATTTGCAGTGTTATGCGTTCGTACACTTCTTAAAATTTCGGTATGTAAAGACAGTTTTTTGCACTTTTACTAAGTAATTCTATGATGATCACAGTTCAGTGGGTTAGGAAAGGCTGGTTTTATTTTATTTATTTGTTTTGGTGATTGAGGTTTGTGATTTGTGATAGAAGGATAGCAGCGAGACTGAAAGGGAACATTTAAAGGATGGTAGTGAGACCTGCTGTGATGTATGGTTTAGAGATGGTCGCTCTGACAGATTGACAGGAGGCCAAGCTGGAGGTGGCAAAGACGAAGATACTAAGATTTTCATTAAGAGTGACCAGGATGGACAGAAGTCGAAATCAGTATATCAGAGGGTCAGCTCTGGTTAAGCAGTTTGAACACAAAGCTAGAGAGGCAAGGCTGAGGTGGTTTGGACGTGAGCAGACGAGGGATAGTGTGCGTATTGGACAAAGGATGGTGAATATGGGACTGCCAATCTGGTGACAAAGAGGAAGAGCACAGATGTTGAAGTAAAGGCGAAGTATGCTAGCAATAAGGTCAGATGGACACAACTGGTCCATCTAATAAATAGCTCTTTAATCACCATTTTGCAACACATTTCCTTTACTCTGTGTTGCATCTTTTCTCTATAATTGTTACATCTGAGAAATCAACTGGAACAGCTTTGAAATTAATAATACATTTTATTTGTAAAGCACAAAAATGGGCATTTCTATTAAAATAACCCTCATGACTCAAGTGCAACGTCAAACTAAGATTAAGAAGCAATGTGATTCCACTGTAATTATATGGTTGACATAAAAACTAACGATATAAGTTGAGCTTAGAGTGACAAAAACTCTGAATCTATATTAGAAGATGGTCAAACAAAATTTAAAAAAACAAGCCTCACAATATGAATGGAGTGATTTAAAGAAGACACAGATGAGGCGATGCGTATTTCCTCAGGTCATTCCACTTCTGAGGAGCTCTAACCGCAAACACCTCCTTTGTCTTTAAGCATAAGGTGAGAACAGTTAACAGGTTCCTGTCTGAGGAGCTAAAGAACAAGCCTGTTGGATACTTTCATGGTTGTCAGTGGGTGACAGGTCTGGGCTGCAGGTAGGTTAGTTTAGCGCCCCAGACCCTTTTGATACGGAGCTTCCTTCTCTGAAAATGGTGTTATTGGGATGACAGCAAATGTTGATCCAACTATATACCTCATGAGGCAAAAGCCAGCTCAAGCCAGCAGTAAAGAAAAAAAAGGATAGCAAAGTCAATCTGGCAACCTAGTGGAAAATAGGGTGTAGTTTATAACTTAATAACCTGAGGTGTAGAGGTGCTAGTAGGCACATCTTGTTACCCTCAGACAGAGCCTGAGAGTCACCTGTGGTCCATCTGCGTTTCAAACAAGTCTCACCTCACTGAAAGTAGCTCCATGTTTAATATACAGACGTGGGAATGATTTATATATTTGCTCTGCAAACTCTCTGCAAGTAAGTGGATAAAAAAATCTTCTCAGAAATATAGAAGTATTCCTTTGGGGGGTTCTTTGTGATTTTTAGCCATTTGGACATTAATATATTCTTTACACCATGTCTAAAACTTCCAGATTGCTACTCGTGTTGTAGCCTGGAGTATATACAAATGGAGATCCACACCACCGCTCACTCCCAACACCACACTTCCTCTTCAGCCAGATACGCGCACACACATGCATAGACGTAATAATGAAATGCAATGATTTTTGAATCTTTTCTGCAATATTTGCCTAATAATGCTATAAAAATTAGTTAGCTCCTCTGGGGGGAATTAATATCTATATGATTGTTTCTTTGTTTCAGAATTAAGTTTTGGTAATGTTGCCTTCTTTTGTCGGTCTGCAGTTTTAAGAGAGACCAAAACAAGGCCAAAAAGAAGAAGGTGGGAGGTTCCTCTGCTGGAAACTGAGCCTTGGATATTATCACTATGTGGCATGTGTCTTAAAAATTATGCCTCCAAATAGTTACTTGAACAACCTTGAGAATTGCATCACCCTGTCTTCTTACACTTTTCTTACAGTTTTCAAACTTAAGCATATTCAGCAACGAGCCTTGTGCTTTCATCTGTATTGTCCATGAACGCCTAATTTCTTCTCCGTTCTGACACTAAAACGTCAGAGAAGATTTCTGCGAAGTACTTCAAGCATTAGTCGTGTCACCGTGTCCTTTCTTCCTGATAGTCATTGAGTTTAAAAACCTTCATTCTTTACAGGACAGACAAAGCCTGGTTCTCGTCTTTGTTTTTTAACCTTGCCGTTCCTCATTTAGTTATAACTCCTCTGTCACTTTTAAAATGATTACCCATAAAAAAGGTAGACCACTAGCAGTTGTATTATCACCTCCTTAACCTTGCTTGGGTTCTTAAGAGAGAGGAGATGGCATCGTTCAGAATTCATTTGGATTTCTAAGGCAATTCATACAGCGCTGGTTACTTGACTGATACGTTATTCTCTTGCATTGCTTACATTGGATTTCAAGATGGTTTAAAACTGTGAAAGTGAGAAAAGATGAACTTTTAAGTACAAGTGTATTGTTAAACATATGGATATTAAGAAAGTTAATCTCGTAGTGTTGTTACTATCCTTTCTTGGGTCAAATAAAGTGTAAAAATAAGATCCCAACACCTGTTGTCAGAACATTTTCTGTCTTCATAGGTCAGTGTTAAGCCTCTTAACACTGACCTATGAAACATTCAACCATAAAAAGGGAACCTAACTCAGGGGATGAACCAGTCCTGTATGTCTCCTTCCAAAATCTAAGGAAACTGGATTAGAAAATGATGAAAAAAACAAGTGGAAGACCTACAAAATTAAAAAAAAAAACCAAAAAAACCCCCCTGATGAACAGTATCTGAAAGTCATGTATTAAGAAAAATCCAGCACAGACCTGTCAAAGGCCCTAAGAAATGCACAAGGGCCAACAGTTGATCTATCTACTGTTAACTGAAGGCTTCTTAAAGATGGTCTTAATAGAAGGGTGGCCATCAAGACGGGAAAATGACGTTAAAGCTGAGATATGGCAAATTACAGTCAATGGCAACAGGTCCCGTGGAGTGATGGATCCAAATGTGAAATGGTTTTCTTTGTTGGTTGTTGGGAATCTTATCAATGCAGAAAACTACCATCAGATTTTTATCCATCATACAATATCATCTGGAAAGCATCTAATGAGCAGCAGCTTCATTTTTCAGCATGAAAATGATCCCAACCACACTGCCAATGCAGTAAAAGCATAGCTGGGTAGAAAGAGACCCAAAAAAAGACTATCAGCCATGGACTGGCCTCCCCAGAGCCTGCATCTCCACATAACTGGAACAGTCTTGAATCATCTTGACAGAGAATGGAATAAAAGGCTGCCACATCCATAAAATCCAAACTCTGTTTCTGCCTTATATGCTGTATTTCCACGTATGTTTAGCATTTCAATAAAACTCCGCAATCATTTCCCACCGTATGTTCATGTTTCAATGAGCGCTACATATTGGTCTTAACTGGCAGAGATCAAGTAGTTACCGGTGCATGCCCTCCGTTTGTAAGGCACAGACTCGGTGCCATGGCATACCAGGCACTTCAGAAATTAGCCCCAGACCCCTGAGGCAGCAAGCACATAACTTGCATAAGAATGAGCTGGCTTGGCTTGTGCCATCAGGTTTTAATTTGTGTCCAAAGACCTTACAAGGCTTATGTCAAGGACCTGTGTTCAATAGGAAGCACTGTGCCTTTGTATCTTCCCTGTTAATAGCTTTTTAAATTAGTCTCTCAGACCTTGCATCCATATAGCCCAAAGTGTTACACACACTCTGCAGTAAGTCATTATAACATTCGCAGGGAGACCACTCACTTTGTAGCTGGTAAGTCATCTATCAAGCTCATATTTAGAGAGAAGGCCCAAGGCTTACTCAGCCTTTTTTTATGATGTTTATCATTTTTATTTCAACAGATTGAGACATTTGTTTTTCAGTTTGATTCACAACTAAAGACCAGAGACAAAAAAGGCATCTTTCTCATAAGATAGGATATTACTGCACTTCTAAGTGTATGAGCTCATGAAAAGGAAAAAAATAAACTCTTAGAATCGTCCAGTGCATCTTTTGTTTCCATTTTAAAATAAACTAGTAGGAAAAAATGCTACACACATTCGAAAGGTAACAAGAAATCAGGTTACGGTTACACACAACTTGTTGTTTTTCGGTTTATATTGGCTGCTTGGTTCATATAATAAGAGTCCTTCCATCCATCCATTTTCTTAACCACTTATCAAGGGTCATAGGAGGGCTCCAGCCTATCTCAGCAATTGTCAACTGGTAACCAGTCCAACACGGGGATGATAGAGAGGGGCAATTTATGCATTTAGAATTTAGAATTTGTACCATAACCAGTACTATGGGAGGAAGGCACAGTGGAAACAACAAGACTCCACACAATTCATCCACATATGACATATCACTAAACTGTGATATGATGAGGTTTGTGGGGAGGGAAAAACAGAGGTGAAGTTAAGCTCCAGATACTTCCACTGCAGAGCTGCTCTGGGACATCAGGTATTAAAGGCGTCGCCTTTGTTTTGCCTGTCAGGTCCTAGTCGCTGACTTTATGCATGCTAATGAACACCAGTGGAGTCTGCCTCAAACCAGAGTGGTCGGGAAGAAAATTAGGGGGATGAGGGGGTCAATAAAGCATCACTGCTATGAGGAACAGTGTGAAGAAGGTAAGACAATGACATATAAGTGAACCACTTTTGCTTACTGTTGACCTATAATGGTCAGCTTTGTTCTGATAGCTCTGTCATCATTGCTTTGCTTATAGGAGCACCTTGAAAGTCCTAGCTATTTCGCTGTCCATCAGCCTCTGTGTTACCTATTTTATTTGTTACCCACTGAGAGTTTTAGGCTCTCTTTATGGATTTTAAATGTGTTTTCACATTTCATTCTTCTTTATTCTTTATTATGCATATTATATACTTGATAAACACATAGTTAGAGACTGTGACACTTGAAAGTTTTTTAATGGATGGTCTGGCTGGTAGGATCTAAAAAAAATTGAGATGAAAATGCCTTGTTAGAAGGTTAGAACATTTAGCACATAATCATCACTTTAACATACAAGTAAATAATCAGTGTACACGTCTTTTTATTGACCCCAGGGTGCTGCCACGTATTTGGCTGGGCAGCTGCCCTCGACAGGTGGAACACGTGACAGTAAAGATGAAGTATGAACTGGGAATCACTGCAGTGATGAACTTCCAGACAGAGTGGGATGTGGTGAACAATTCCTACGGCTGCCGGCGTAACCCCGACGAAACCATGACCCCAGAGACCATGATGCATTTGTACAGAGACTGTGGCCTTGTGTATGTGTGGCTGCCCACACCGGACATGAGCACTGAGGGTAAGGACGATTTTCTGGTCATACAAGGTTGAAGAAAAAGCCCTTTTTAATTCCTAGTAGAACCTCTTAAGTGTGTTTAACCCCATTAAAACATTATGAACTTAGAGCTATTCAAAGGTTCAACATGAGACTGGGAATTCTGTTCGGAGGGTAAAGCCCGATGGACAGTAATAGAAAAACAAATTGAAGATGTCCAGAAAAAAAAGGTTTTATAGTCTAGGTTTAATCCATGTGTGAGAAAAGCAGGCCCTATGCCTTTGATCAATTTAATTTGGACATTCATCAAGACAGAAATGCCCATTTGATAGCAATTCTTCCACAGATGACTGAGAGTGTGAGTACGGGATGAGAACAGCCTGTATCAGCAATTATATTCCATCAGCAATTACACAGAGCAGGATATTATAAAAGGAACCATTCATTACAAATAAAGATGCAGATTTGTTTGAGTGCAGTGGGACAAAAACTGTACCTGTGGCCTGCAAGTAGAAAAAAGTGTTGTGATTAGATAAATTATCAGCATATTCTTAATCTTAGACACTGGTACATGTCTAAGATGCTGGTTTGTTCTGTGAGGTCATTTTTATCCCATGATGAATTATTTCCAATATGATGGGAGCGGTCTGTCCCAGGATCTATTCATATGGAATAAGTGATCACTGTATGCTTGGATGAGGGCGAAAATGACCTCAAAGTCATCACATTCCTACCTAATTGAACACCAATGACGGATTTTCAGCATTTCGGTATGTTTCTTTATGACCATCATCAAAACATCAAATGAGAGACTATCTTTTGGAAAAATGGCCATCTATCCCTCCATTAGAGTTGCAAGCACGCTGGAACTGTTCTGGCACGATGCTGTGGCCAAACACTTTAATAGCAAATTTTGTTGGGTTTTTTTTTTTCCATTTATTACCAATCTCGTTGGCCAGAAACTTTAAAAAACACATTTGAGCTATGGGAATGCATTCAGTCTTTCTTACCTATAGTAATTACAGCTACAGGTAACTGCCCCCAGCAAATTCACTGTTTATTTCTGTTTGAGTAATGTCAGTATAAAAACCACAGCCTGCAGCACAGGAGCATTACTGAGCTCGAAAAAATGTAAAGATTTAATCCATCAGGAATTAACTGACCTGTTGCTGCATGCCACAGACTGCAGTACAGACAGAAATTATGGAGAGGGGAAGAGGTTTCAGTCCTTTAATTGAAATAAGTAGGATAAGAAAAATACACAAATACTCAGTATCTCTTTTATGAGTTGCCGTCTTCTTCTGCAGGCCGGATCAGGATGCTTCCTCAGGCTGTATTCTTGCTTCATGGTCTCCTAGAGAATGGCCACACAGTCTATGTCCACTGTAACGCTGGAGTGGGGAGGTCGACTGCAGCTGTGTGTGGCCTGCTCATGTATGTCCTCGGGTGGACCCTGAGGAAGGTGCAGTACTTTGTAGCAGCAAGGAGACCAGCAGTGTACATCGATGAGGAAGCTTTAGTCAAAGCTGAGGCAGACTTCCTTCAAAAGTTTGGCCGGCTGCGCTCATCTATGTCTGACCCTGAAACATGAGATCCGAGTGGCTTTGTGCTTGAAATCTGAAGCTGAATCCTTTGGACTTTCTGAGAAATAAAATGATTGAAAACTCAAAACAATTCTTGATGTGCAAAATTTTAAAAATTAAAATCTGTATCTCGACTTTAATCCAATGTATCACTTCAGCCCAAGTATCTGAGAGTGTTCTGGCAGCAGAAATGTCAATCAATCCAACTGGTGTGTGAGCTTTTAAAAGCTGGGGTAGGCAGCATGTTTTTGGCGTCACTGGGCAAATAATCCCATCTAGGCGTATTGTATTTTAAATGTTCTTAAGAGGTACTCGACTCCTGCTCCTCCACTGGGCTCTTTTTTCAGGCTTCAAAAACATCTAGTCTGTTATGGGACCTTAAAAAAAAGCAGAAAGGTTATAAAGTCTTAATAGGAATCAAAGTGTGGCGGTTCAGTGGGTACTTTTTATACCACTGACTAATCTTCTGCTGTATGAATATCGTGCATACACCCATGCTCATCTGGTTGGAGGGGATTGGAGAGAGATGACAGCTGCAGGAGGAGATGTGGCTTTTAAAAAAAAAATCTGGCTCCCCCTCATTCAGGGCCTTAACTCAGCCTTTAAAAATATACACATGTCCACATGGGTGCTTGTGCTTTTCGAAGTTTTAATGAACAAACAAAGCTGATGTTTTGAGCAAACATTAGGTTCTCTTTTAAAAGTTTACTGCAACTAAATCGCAGGAACTATGCAGGTTGATATTTCTCATTTCCTGCGTGCAGGAAATAGGTCAATTATTAAGAGAAACATACATTTTCTGTGTTGTTTTGTGTTTGTTTGTTTTTTTTTGTCATTTCTGAGAATCTCTTCTTTCTTTTCAGAAAGGAAATTTGTAATTTCCCAGGTTTTAGAGATGGAACTTAATGCTGCATGAAAATGACTCTGTGCCAAAGCTACAAATGAAAATTTAAAACTAATATATCAATAATGTCTCTCCCTGTGTGTATGAGAGGAACTCAGCTCTCGGGCATCAAAGAATATAGCTCGTTCTCTCTCACTTTGAGCGCTTGATAGCATTTCATGTTTTATTTACCTGACAGATGCTCTTCCAATCATCTGCTGAATAAGAAAAAACATCTCTTCTACACCGTTTTAATGCATACATAACAGCCCATTAAGACACGGAGCATTATTTGTTGTCATTTCTGAACATTTGACTACACTGTTATTGTGACGATGCTGCATTTGCTTTTCTTCAGAAGATGTTTTTGTTAAGAAAATTAGTGAATTAGAATATCAAAGATTTCTTCCCTCTAGCACAAATCTGTATACTTTTTTTATTAGTTTCTGTGAGTCTCTGCAGAAGGCAGCACCATTATGAGGGGATCAGCGGGGATGGGTGGGTGGATAGAGCTAAGCACCTGTGCTATTCAAAGTGAATCATCACGGTTTTCTAAAGATCTAAAAATATTCACAAAACTGAACATGAAGGAAAATGCTTTTCTATATTTATTTTCAGTTTTTTTGTTTTCTAAGGTATCAACATTGATTTGACAGAAAATCATGTGTTATGTTTGTGTGCATCTTATTGTATGAACAGTATATTAGTAGTGTTGGGCTTGCCGTGTCTTAGATATCAAAGTAGCTGATAAACATGCTGTAATTATTGAAATGGATTACTGTCAATGATTGATCACAAAGCATCTGAACCCCATATGATTTGCTGTTGCATGAAGTTGCATTCAAATTCAAGTGCAGAGACGACTTGCAACTGACACAGAACATTTAAAAAATGAAAGAAAAAAACCCCGCCAGTGCACCAACACTTGTGTTGTGTCTATTATTTTGCCCTGCAATAGCTGTGCATGGCATCAGCTTGTATATACTCTCTTTGCTCGGTCTTCTAGATCCACTTCATGCTGAAAGCGTCACAGATCATTGCTTTTCATTTCCTTCTGCAGTTTACCCTCTGTTTTTTATGCCTTCATGGATCAACTGAGACCGTCTTCTATTTTATCTTTACTGTAAATTGAAACATTAATAATAAAACTGAGCAGTCATTTAGAAGTAACATCATCTTAGAGTTTGAGCCACATTGCGCTTTATGCTGTTTGTCATTTTTCTGTCCTCTGCTTTTCTCTCTTTCTCGTCACTCCAATTAGCAGCAGCAGGTGGCCCTCCCACCCTGAGCGTGGTTCTGTGTGAAACTCTTCCCCCCCCACCCACTGTTGCAAAGAGCTTATTCATTTAGATGGATAGTTTCCATCTCTAATGTTGTAGGGTCTTGACTTCACAGTATACAACGCCTCAAAATGACTTTTGCAGCCATTTAGTGTTGGGTTCAAATGTTCAGACACATCTAAGCATTCACATCTCCCCCCTGTGAGTAAGCTCTTGGCTTGGTGTTGATAATGCATTGGTGTAAAAGGTGGATAGCGTTCACTGACTTCAATTAAAATCTAACAGAGTACACTTTGTACTTCAGTGCAGTCCTCAGCATTCATGTTCACTATGTAAACTAAATAAAAAAGGATTTACTATATGATGCTAAACTGTGAAAAATAATGAGCACCAACACAGTTTTAACCTTGTAAACTTGAATTAAGCATTAAAGGATACAGTTAATCTTAAGTATACCCCCCACAGCTTCAAAAGGCCAGGCAGATCAGCGGATGGGCCCGTATTTAAACTAATTGGACACACATTATAATATTTTGACTTTTAACAGCCAAAACTGAATTTCTTCACATCCTAAGTTTTCTACACATCGAAGACTTTCACAACTGGTGAAATCTAATTAGTTGGAGAAAACGCCACATTCTGAAATAGGAGAAATGCCTGTAAGATGAAAACAAAATATCTTAGCTGTGCTCAGGTACTTTGAAATGATCTTCCCAGCTGTGAAGACTGAATCCCATCATTGTTTGCATGGACGCTGAATCCCAGCAGTGTATCAAAGAGAGAAATTACCCCGATATCTCTTGTAATGCCGGAAGGATCCAAATCAGAACTTCAGACAACTTTCACAACACACCCCTGCAGCGAGTTATAAAACATCCACCTAAACTGTAGACAGATATTAAAGACTACAGACTGATCCTGTAATTTTATCAATGACCTGAGCTGTGCCACAGGTGAAAAAAGAAATTAAACTGGAAAAGATTAAGTGTTAAATTCAATACTTTATAACAGCTCGAAATCAGGCTGTTTCAGATCAGTTCAATAGTTCTAATTCATTGTGAATTTTGAAAAGGGCAATCCATGACTTGAGACGCAGTACTGATTGAGTGCAGGCACAGTTTACGCCTCTGGTCAAATACACTGATATCAGCTACAACATTAAAACTACCCACCTAATGTGTGGTCAAAACAGCTTGGATCCACAAGGATACATTCAGGTCAGTCAGGGGTTTGCTCCAGGATGCTGGTAACAGAGTTGGGGTCTTGGTTTGTTTGGGCAAATCCTGTAGGTGTTTGATCATACTGGTTTCTGGTGAGTTTTGATGCACTATGCTTCTTGTCACGCCATGGTTTTGAAATAACTATAACTGACATGGTTCAAATTATGCAAAGAAGATGACAGAGCAGACTAAATCTATCACATTCTAACACATAAATGTCACAACTTATAGGGAAATAGTTATTAAAAAACCTTTTACACCAAAAAGTACTGAATCTAAAGAAATCCTCCTTTAAAGTATATTTTTAAAAATTGATGTTATTGAAGTATAATCAGCATACAATCGAGTCAAAGCTTTTTTAATGCTAAGAGAAAATAATTAATAAAAACTATACAAAAAATGTACATGAGACAGCCGAGACAGTTCCTTTGAGGCACTTCAGAGTTCACAATTAGTTGAATAACTTCCATTTATGATCACCAATTCACTCTAACTGATAACCCAAATATCAATCTTGAATAGTACAGACTAAGAAAAACTATAACATTTTATAATTTTAAAAAGATGTATATATCCAACTGTGGATGTTTGCATGGCAAAAGGTAAATAGGATCAGAAGCAAAATTATCACACACTTCCAAACAAAAACTATGATACAGACCACTGAGCCACACCGTCCATGGGCGCCCCCATTTTGGGTGTTGTGGATGGGAAAGAGTTGTTGAAGCTAAATTGAGACGCAATCAGCAGGCAGAAATATGGCTTCCTGCTGAGAAAGAGCACTATAGGTTCAATGTTTATGTTGAGAGTGTTGATGGAGTTGCACTGTTCCTTCTAGAAAGGCCAATCCATGGTTGATTATGATCATTCAGACAGAGATCTTTATCAATCATTGACAGATAGTGATAGTGGTTAGACATTTTTGAGATGGTGTTGGAAAATATGATGGATCAAAATCAGAAAGTCTTGTCAGGTCTTTGCTTGATTTTTCCCCGTTTCTCATCTGCTGTAGATATCTTTTTAGGCCTGCAACTTCTTCTTTTGTACTCTTCTTGTCTAGTTTCCTTAAAATTTTTAAGGACACTTTACACACCATGCTCATGTGTAAGTTTTCAGATTTTTGCACAGTACTGTAGATTAAACACAAATCAAGTTCTACATTCAAAGACAAATGTTTGTCACTTTCCAAAGATTTTATAACAAGGCTGTTTTCAGTAACGTGCCAGACACTCATACCATATCTTAAAATGGATAATTAAAAGTCTCCTAATTCTTGCTTTTGTGTTTCTTAGATATGATGAGCACAGTTATTTTCCATATTTAAATATAAATGTTATTATCAAATAGAAATAAGCTGAATTTGTTTTTTCCAATAATACTTTGGTTCTTATATTTTGAATGTGAACTTTGTCCTTTGAAAAAGTACACGATTCATTTTCAGTGCAGTTCTATTAGGTTGAATGTTCACTCACCAAAAGCTGTGGAAAAGCTGTTCCAAATGTCCAAGAAAGCCTACAAGTCACTCACGCATAAAGCCACAAATGATTTATATTCATTGCATCAGTGTGGGTACCCCTAGTAAATTTACTTAATATATTCCTAGTCCATCATTTGCATGGTCTGGGCTCCATTTTCTTGAGAAAAATCCAGCAATGAAGAATTTGGTATTCACTTTCCCCCAGGCAGAAGTCCAACAACCCTGGCAGATGTTTGTCAAGTTCACACTTTGCAAAAGCCAGCTCAAAGTTCAGTTCATGCAGAATGAAATGAACCAAGTCATGTTCAGAGTTACAACACATCACAACAAATGCCCAGCTGTGGGAAGGGGAGGGGGGGTATACAATGTAGTTTGCACGGACCCCGTGTGCTTCTGTGCATGACTGACAATGTTAGGGCATGTTCCTAATGAGACACTGGATGGTGTCCTAGAGATCTCCTGCCAGATCTGGACCAGGGCATCACTGAGCTCTTGGACAGTCTGAGGTGCAACCTGGCGATGTCGGATGGAGCAGAAACATGAAGTCCCAGAGGTGTTCTATTGGATTTAGGTCAGGTGACCTCCTGTCAGTGGTATCAATGCCTCCCTCCTCCAGAAATTGCCTGCATATTGACAAAGGAATCCATTGTCTATACATTTCAACAAATGTAGGAAGATGTCATTTTAATGCCT